ACCATCAGTTTTTTCTCTGTATCTCAAGTCTATTTTTGTTTTGTTTGTTCATTTATTCAGTTCTTTAGATTCCATGTATAAGTGAGATCATGTGGTATTTGTCTTTCTCAGTCTGACTTATTTCACTCAGCATAATAACCTCTAGGTCCATGTTGTTGCAAATGGTAAGGTTTCATTCTTTTTTATGGCAGAGTAATATTCCATTGTATAAATGTACGATAATTTCTTTATCTAATCATTTATTGATGGACATTTCAGTTGTTTCCATATCTTGGCTACTGTGAATAGCACTGCAATAAACATAGTGGTGCATTTATTTTTTCGAATTAGTGTTTGGGTTTTTTTGGATAAATACCCAGGAGTAGAATTACTGGGTCATAAGGTAGTTCTATTTTTAATGTTCTGAGGAACCTCCATACTGATTTCCATAGTGGCTGCACCAATTTACCATCCCACCAACAGTGCACAAGGATTCCCTTTTCTCCACCTCCTCGCCAGCACTTGTTTGTTGATTTATTGATGATAGCCATTCTGACCTGGGTGTGATGGTATCTCATTTCAGTTTTTATTTGCATTTCTCTAATGATGTTTAGTGACATGTTGAGCATCTTTTCGTATGCCTATTGGTCATCTGTATCTCCTCTTTAGAGAAATGTCTCTTTGTGTCCTCCACCCATTTTTTAATTGGGTTGTTTGTTTTTGGTTTGTTTTTTTTTGGTGTTGACTTCAATGAGTTTTTTAACAAATTTTGGATATTAATCCCTTATCAGACATATCATTGGCAAATTTCTTCCATTTAGTAGGATGTCTTTGTTTGTTAATGGTTTTCTTTGCTGTGAAAAAACTTTTTAATTTGATGTAGTTATAATTTTTCCTTTTAAACATTAAACATATTTTAAAGAGCTCAGTAGGAGAATAATAGTTAATTGCATTCACCCAGATATTTGCTTTTACTGTTTTTCCTTTATTCTTGATCTTCCAACTTTGTTTTTGGTATTATTTCCCTTCTGTCTAAATAATTTTCTTTAGGAATTATTTTAGAGAAGGTTGCTTGGCAAGAAATTTTCTTAGTGTTTCTTTATCTTACAATGTCTTTATTTTGCCTTTATTTTTAAGGGATGTGTTTTGGAGAACAGAATTCTTAACTGTTCTTTTCTTTCAGTACTTTAAAAATGTTATGTCACTTTTTTCTGTTCTCCATCCATGGTTTCTGATGAGAAATCTGCAATCGTTTGAATTGTTGTGTTTCTATAAGTAATGCATTATTTTTCTGGATACTTTCAAGATTTTTTTCTGTGTCTTAGTTTTTAGCAGTTGCTTATGATGTGCTGCTCCTTGGATTTCTTTGTGGCTATCCTACTTGGGGTTCACTGAGCTTTTTTTTTTTTTTTTTTTAGATTTTTATTGGGGAATTGGGGGGATGGGAACAGTGCTGGGGAATTGGGGGAAGGGGAACAG